CCACGCAGGCACAAAGTGTCTCCAGGCAGAGTCCAGCCGTCCCTCTGCACAAAAGCCACCATCCCTGGCCAAACACTCGCTGTCCCCAGCACAGCTGCTGCTGTCCCCACTCTCGTCACTGTCCCCACGCCCACGCTGCTGTCCCCATGCACATGCCCGGGTCCACGTGCCCCTGTGGGTTTAGGAGGTGGAGTCCTCTCCATGGCCTTGTCCAAATCCTCCCTGGGCAAACACGGTTCCTGGACACCTCCCAGGCGCTGGAGCTCGCTGTCCAGCGCCGCTCACTCCCACACAGCCCGTCCCCGAGGTGCCACCGCTCCTCCCCGAGGTGCCACCGCTCCTCGCCGGCCTCCCTGGGGCAGCGCCACCAGCTGCTGCTGCTGCGGCTGCAGCTCTCCAAAGGGGCAGGACACAGCAAGGCTGGGTTCGGCATTAGGGGCGCTGTGAGCACTCACTGCATGGCATGAGGGGTGTCACTCTGCTGCCACTCTCTGATCTCAGCCTGGCGTCCCTGTGTCACCACCCTGGACCCCCAGACTCGGCCACATCCCATCCTGGAAGGGATGATGAGTGATGCTGCCGGAGAGGGGCCACCCGGGAGGCCCTGGGATGAAAGGGAGCGCAGGGTGTCATTACTGCAGGTGACACAGAGCTCGGGAATGGCACCTGTCACCTCCCCTGGCTGCTGCAAAATGCTGCCCGGGGAGTGGGGGGGACACGGGACAGGGACAGGGACAGGGACACAGCAGCGACCCCAGCACTGATGTGCCTGCCTGTGGATCTGCCCGGGGCTGCCACTGGCTGGGGACATCCCTGTCCCCTGGCAGCATGACCTGTGTGTCCCCAGGCTCGGTGGCTTCCCAGTGACACCACGTGCTGTTTTTCTTGGCATGACTTGTGCCTTTCCAGCCCTGGCAGGGGATGGCCCATCCCGGTGCCGTAATTGGGCCTGGCAGGGAGCACAGCCGCTCCCTTCGCTGCGGGTTTTGGGCCCCGGGTGACACCTGAGTGCCCTGCAGGTGGTGGCAGCTCCAGGACAGCCTCGCTGTGCCCTCTCCTCTGGGGACAGCCGGGAGCTCTGCTCTGGAGGCTGCTGAGCCTGCAGCTGCTGGCTCACTCGGGCACCTCGAGGGCTCTGGGTCCCTGCTGGGGCCATGGGGACAGTCCCTCCCCTCCTGCCACCCCCTGCACCCCAGGCTTCGTGCTGGACCACAGAGGGAAACTGAGGCACGGGAGAGCCCTTCTCCTGGGGGGGGCAGAGGCAGCAGATATTTAATCCTCATGGATGGGGGCTGTGGAAGGGGCATAAACACCGTGGAACACACATGGAAGGACAAGGTCATCCTGCTCAGAGTCCCTTTTCTCCCTGTTCTTGGTGCCACCACCAAGGCCCAAACATGCTTTGGGAGGGAGAGGGGGACATGCAGCACGGGGGGAGCACACAGAGAAAAGACATCACTGCCAGGACCCTGGGGCTGGGGGGACACGCTGGGGCCCCTCCATCCCCCGGCCCCAGCACTGCGAGTGCTTTGGCAGTGGCTCAGAGGTGACAGCACAGCCCTGGAGGGATCATTAGTCCTCCCTCATTAAAAAAAGTTACTCACCCTTTGAGACAGAAACAAGAATATCCTGGAAATGCCTGGGTTTGGGGAGTTCTCGCTCTAAAGGTATGACTGAAACCAGGCTGCAGGTGATGCTCCCCAGCACGTGGGCAGGTGAGTTACCTGGGCACTGCCCGGGGCTGCTGTGCTCCTGCTGCTTCCTCTGTGTCCGGGGTGGGCAGTGTCCAGGGATGGGCAGTGCTTGGGATGGGCAGTGTCCAGTGTGGGCAGTGTCCAGGGTGGGCAGTGTCCAGGATGGGCAGTGTTTGGGATGGGCAGTGTCTGGTGTGGGCAGTGTTTGGGATGGGCAATGTTTGGGATGGGCAGTGTTTGGGATGGGCAGTGTCCAGTGTGGGCAGTGTCCAGGGTGGGCAGTGTCCAGGATGGGCAGTGCTTGGGATGGGCAGTGTCCAGTGTGGGCAGTGTCCAGGGTGGGCAGTGTCCAGGATGGGCAGTGTTTGGGATGGGCAGTGTCTGGTGTGGGCAGTGTTTGGGATGGGCAATGTTTGGGATGGGCAGTGTCCAGGGATGGGCAGTGTTTGGGATGGGCAGTGTTTGGGATGGGCAGTGTCCAGTGTGGGCAGTGTTTGGGATGGGCAGTGTTTGGGATGGGCAGTGTCCAGGGTGGGCAGTGTTTGGGATGGGCAGTGTCCAGTGTGGGCAGTGTCCAGGGTGGGCAGTGTTTGGGATGGGCAGTGTCCAGGGTGGGCAGTGTTTGGGATGGGCAGTGTCCGGTGTGGGCAGTGTCCAGTGTGGGCAGTGTCCAGTGTGGGCAGTGTCTGGTGTGGGCAGTGTTTGGGATGGGCAGTGTCTGGTGTGGGCAGTGGACAAAGCACTCTGGTCCCTGCTCGGGATGCCAGGGTGGCACCCACTAAGCTGTCACCGCCTGTCACACATCCCTGGGCACCTCACGGTGCCCCTGGGGCCAGCCCTGCGGCGGGGTGAGGGGTGAGCCAGCCGAGTCCCGCCGCAGGCAGGGGGACCCTGGCGCTCAGGTATCCGGGCAGGTGAGCTGCGGTGCCGCGGGATGGCCGCGGGCTGAGTCACGGCTCCGGCTCGGGGCTTTGCGGCCGCAGAACAAATTCCCATCGCAATTCCCCAGAGCGAGGAGCTCCGCTGCCCCGGGACACCCCCGGCCCGGGGGCTCTGCTGAGGCTGGAGGGATCCGGGGCATTTTGGGCTTTGGAGCCGCTGCTGCTCCTCACCCGGGTGCTGCCTGGAGCCTCCTCCCTCTCGGCAGCCCTGGGATGCTGGTGGGAACCGGCTCCTCTGGGAGGGCTCCTGGGGAAACCCGGGAAGAAAATCACAGAGCTCAGGTGTTCCCAAGACCCCTCCCCGGGCACGGAACATTTACCCCCCCCCAAAAGCCGTGCTGCAATGCCAGCACGAGGCAGGTGCTGGCCCTTTCTCCCTGGGGACAACACACCGGGGTCGGGATGGGCAGAGCCGTGCTGGGACACCGGGCTGGCATCCTCGGGCCGTGCCAGGTGATCCATCCCCCGGGAGACCCTCCCTACACACCCGCACAAGGTGCAGCTCCAGGGAGGGGTTTGGGAGCCTCTCTTGAGCCTCTGTCTTTGCCACAGCTGAAAACGTCCCCCTGGAAGGGGGCTCCAGCTGTCCCTGAGCCGGGCAGGAGGGTGAGAGGCAAACTCTCCATGCCAGCAATGGGGATGGAGAGTCACAGCCACCTTGTTCCTCTGGGACAGCCGGGACCATGAGGCAGCACCAGGAGCTCGAACAGCTGGAAAAACCCCCACTAAAAATTAACATTAATTTATTAGAATATTTATGATAAAAACCAAGAATCTCTTTACATGTGGGTTTGGTTTTTTTTTTTCCTTTTTATACAAGAGAATTTCCATTGCTTTTTTTTTCCTCCTGGAAACAGAGCAGGGCAGCAGGCAGGCGCAGGCAGCGGCGCGGGCGCTCGCCCCGGTGACGCCGGCCCTGGGGGTGCCAGCGGGGCGTGGAGCGGGCGGGACGTGGCACAGGTGCCCACCAAGGCAGCGGGGCAGAGCGTGGCAAGGCACGGCACAGGGAGGGGACAGCGGCCGGGGTCCCCGGGAGGGCGGTGAGCACCCCGTGGTACCCACGGTGGCACACGGCGGGAGCTGGGTGGCACAAGGTGGGGGACAAGGTGACAGACACAGGACACCCCTGAGCCCGGGGAGGGCTGCAAGCCACCAGAACGCCCGGTGATCCCTCCCAAGCCTTGGGGAAAGATGGGTCCTTCGGGACCCCTGGCACCCCCAGTCGTGCCCTTGCTGCCAGCCTTTGGGATCCAAGGTGTCCCCGCGCTGGGAGAGCTGGCACTTGGCTCTCCCCAGCTCCTCTCGCTTGCGGGGGGACAAACGGACAAACAACCCCCCCGGCACACCCCGGGCCCCGTCTTTGGTTAAGGAGCAGCCGCTGCCGCGCTGGCACAGGGCGAGGGGCCGAGGCTGGCCCCTGGAGGGTCCCCACAGGGACAGGTGACAGCAGTTCCAGGAGGGATGGAGAGGCTGCTCAAAGCGAGGGGGCCCCAGCTTCCCCCCTGCATGGCTCTAGAGTATTTCTCTGAAAAGACCTGGCATGAAATGTGAGGCCAGGAGGGAGGATCCCAGGCACAGCCGGGCCCACGGGGAAGCTGCCAGGGCGCGGGAGCAGCGGCAGGAGCCCGAGGTGTGGGGAGGGGCAGGGAGTGTGTGTGTGTGTGTGTGAGTGTGTGTGTGAGTGTGTGTGTGTGTGTGTGTGTGTGTGTGTGTGTGTGTGTGTGAGTGTGTGTGTGAGTGTGTGTGTGTGTGTGTGTGAGTGTGTGTGTGTGTGTGTGTCTGTGAGTGTGTGTGAGTGTGTGTGTGTGTGTGTGGTGTGTGTGTGAGTGTGTGTGAGTGTGTGAGTGTGTGTGAGTGTGTGTGTGTGTGTGTGGTGTGTGTGTGTGTGTGTGTGAGTGTGTGTGTGTGTGTGTGTGTGAGTGTGTGAGTGTGTGAGTGTGCACCAGCCCCCTGACAGCTCCTGCTGTCCCATCTCTCCGCTCCGGAGCAAGGCGAGGGGCAGGGAAGCACAGGAGGGGAGAGGGGGAGCTGTGCCATGGGGAGTGATTGTGGAGACCCCTGGTCAGAGCCGGCCGCAGGTCCTGAGTGGGTGGGCACCTCTGGGGAGCCCCGCCGGGGCTGTGAGGCACCTGCAAATCCCAATCCCGGGCGGAAAATCATCCATCACCCCCAGGCCACGCGGCCCAAGGAGCCCCGGGCATGCCAGGGCTCCTTCCCTGCTCACTGGGGCCAGCCCAGGGCTCGCTGGGCAGAGCTGTCCTGGCAATCCCAGTCCATCCAGGACAGGCTCCCCTGACTGAACCCAGTGTGTAGTGACAAGAAACCAAAACGGAGAGCAAAGAACGAATGAATGAACAGAGAGAGAGAAACGATTTGGAGGCTTTGTGCCAGCAGCTACTGGCCCTTGGGGATGAAGGGCTCCCCCTCCTCGGGCTCGGGCCGCGGGCCGGGGTCGCTCAGGCACCGCAGCATCCGCTGGTTGCTGGGGCTGTCCCCGTTGCCCGGGGTGAAGACGTCGTCAGTCCCCGGGGAGGAAGGCTCCTTCACCCGCATCACCAGCCCCTCCTCATCCTCCTCGGGCGAGGGCGGGAGGCCACTGCAGCCCTTGGGCTCCTCGCTCATCAGGTCCACGGACTCGGGGGACTGCGGCGAGGCTGGGTCGATGGTGATGATGGGCAGGTTCTCCGAGTCCTCCTTGGGCTCGTAGGCCAGCGGGTCTGGGAGGCACAGAGGGGTCAGGCAGGGAAGGGGGGGGTCTCAGGGACCCCCGGTGATGCACCCCAGATGTTTTTTTGGGGCTGGGGTGCTTGGGCTGTCTCGCTGATTTCCAATCCAGCTGTGTAATTCCTTTTCCCGATTCCCACAGCCCGGTGGAGCTGCCGGCAGCCCGGCTCCATCGGGAAGGGCGAAGCTGCCCTCTGCTGATGAGCCGCGGGCTCGGCAGCCGCGGCACACCCGACACGCTGTCCCCGGAGCGGGAGGGGACGCACAGGACAGGGGGAACCGAGGGTGCCAAAGCAAATGTGCCATGGACAAACTGGGAGTGCACTGGCAACAGGTCCTGGGCTAAGCCCGCCCCTGAGGAGGGCTGGGAGGGGCACGGACAGAGACGTGGCTGCGTGGATGGAGCGAGCTGGGCTCCAGAGGGACTGCCCGACCTGCCTTCCCAGGGGAATTGTGCTGGGAGCCAGCTGGGCGCTTCTGCTCGGAGCAGCAACCCTCTGGGGCTGCGCTGGATGGGCGTGGGCTGGGGACGGTGGGGCCACAGGGAGCTGAGGAGGCGCAGGACAGCTCCGAGGGCTCCAGGTGAGGGCAGTGCCTCCTCCTGCAGCCCCTCCCACCTACCTGAGCCGATGCGAGCCCGGGACATGGTGGGCGAGTCCACCTTGTGTGCCGGCACCGTCAGGTAGTTGTTCATCTGCAACGGGAGCAAGGCACCGTCAGCAGCGTGGCCACAGGCATGGGCAGGAACTGGGCACAGGCATGGGCAGGAACTGGGCACAGGGATGGACAGAGGACTGGGCACAGGGATGGGCAGGGAACTGGACACAGGGATGGGCAGGAACTGGGCACAGGCATGGGCAGGGAACTGGACACAGGGATGGGCAGGAACTGGGCACAGGGATGGGCAGGGAACTGGACACAGGGATGGGCAGGAACTGGGCACAGGCATGGGCAGGGAACTGGACACAGGGATGGGCAGGAACTGGGCACAGGGATGGGCAGGGAACTGGACACAGGGATGGGCAGGGGACTGGGCACAGGGATGGGCAGGAACTGGGCACAGGGATGGGCAGGGGACTGGGCACAGGCATGGGCAGGAACTGGACACAGGGATGGGCAGGAACTGGGCACAGGCATGGGCAGGAACTGGGCACAGGGATGGGCAGGGGACTGGGCACAGGCATGGGCAGGGGACTGGGCACAGGGATGGGCAGGAACTGGGCACAGGGATGGGCAGGGGACTGGGCACAGGCATGGGCAGGGAGCAGCAGTGGGACACAGAGGACATGGGCACAGATCCTCCCAGCCTTGCTCCAGGGACCTGCTTGGGGCCTGGGGCAATCAGGACCCCCAAGGCTGGGGGTCACCCTCTGTCATCAAAGCTCAGCCCCCTCCCTTTGCCCTCCCAGGCTGGGAAGCCCCCCTGGCCCCCATCCTGCCCTGCCCTGGTGTTCCCCCAGCACCTTCTGCTCCAGCTGCCGGGCCTTCTGCCTCCTCAGGAGCATCTGGTTCCAGGCTTCCTCGTAGGGGTCAGCCACCAGCGTGTGCCGGTTGTAGGATCGCAGCTGGGAACAGATCCCAGAAAAGGAGACAGGTTAAAATCCCTCATGGGGAGGGAAAGAAAGGTCACAGCCCCATTTGTCCTGGAGATGGAGGGAACAGCCACCAGTGGGCAGAGCAGGTGCAGGCAGGCTCGTGGCTCATCCCTGTGTGCCACCACAGGATGCCTGATCCCAACCCACCTGGGCCAACGAGGGTTTAAGGGCTGGGCTCAGCCACTGACCAAATCAGCCTGACCCTCAGACTACCCCAGCACCATCCCAGGAGGAAAAGCCTCCTGGGGAGGAAGAGTCAGGCCAGGAGCCCAAGGCACAGCAGGGTGAAGGGCCCAGCTGAGGGGCTGGTGGGCAGTGTCCCTGCCTCTCCCAGCGAGGCAAAGGGGACACACAGTGCCAGGGGACACCTCACCCTCTGCCGGGTTTTCTGCAGGTTTGTGCGGAGGATTTTCCGGATCTCCTCCTCCTTGTCCTTGGACAGGGCTGGCAGGACGCGCTCCAGAGGGAGGGTCTGGGGGTTGATGTTCCTGCACGGACAGACAGGATTAGAGCCACCCACCATTGGCTGCTCGCCCTGTGGCCACGAGCAGGGAGCACTCAGGGTGCCAGGGAGGGTGCCCAGGGCAGGGAACTCACTGGATGGAGACGGTGGAGACGGCAGAGGGGATCTTGCCGATGCCGCCGCTCTCCACCAGCTCGATGGCCTGCTTCATCTCCATCTTGTGGTAGAAGGCGATGAGCTGGGGCTCCTTGGAGCGCTCCCCCGCGATCAGGCACTTCTTCACGTACTTCTTGTTGAAGCGGTTCAGCCTTGCCAGAACGGGGCACAGGAGGGGCAGCCACAGCTCAGCCCCGGCCCTGTCTCACTCCCCACTCCCCACTCCCCAGGTCAGCACTGCTGGGCTCAGTGCTGGCTCCAGCTCCACCAGCACGGCTCAGGCCAGGCTTCCCCGAATCTCTCCCAAGCCAGGGTGTCTCCACAGCACCCAGCACCTGCTGGTACCCACGAGGGATGGCCCTGAGCTCCTGCAGGGACTGGCCACTGGCAGCTCCCACCCTGCCATGAACCTGCTGGGGGTGGTGAGGCCAAGGGGTGCAGCCCTGCAGCCTCCCTTGCTCCCAACCCAGGGCCATAATTCCCCATAGTGAGTCTGCGTGTGGATATTAAAGCCTGGCACAGAGCTGTGAAACCTTCTGGGTGGTGACTGAAACCCTTCCCCAGCCACCAAACCTCCCCACTCACTTGTCCTTCCAGTGGTGATGCCCGTAGTGACCACAGATATCCTCGATCCCTGTCAGAAGGTGATCCAAGAACTGGAAGAGATGGTCCAAGGCGTGAGCAGCTCGGAGGGTCCTGCCCACCCCCTCCCTCCCCTGACACCCACACTGACACACGGGGAGGGCACTCAGGGTGTGTAAAGTCAGGGCTGTGGGTCCAGGATGGGCTTTGGGAGGGCAGGATGGACCCACACAACCGGGCTTGGCTCTACAGGCACTGGGGGTCTGGGTCAGAGCGGGCACTGGACGACACAGACAGGGCAGAGCCCTCGCTCTGCCCCCTTACCTTGGGCTCTGATTTAGGGGCAGGTCCCAGTGACAGAGGTGGCAGAAGCAGAGAGAGCAGAGGGCTAAGGCAGCACGCGTTACCTGCGTGTGGATCTCCTCGTTGATGGAGCGCTTCGTCTCCTGCTTCTTCTTCACAGCCAGCAGATCCACCAGGGGCCGGATGGTCATGCCCTGGGAGGGAGGGAGGGAGGGAGAGGGGGGTTAATCTCTGCCCAAGGCACAGTGGTGGCGGTGGGATGGGCTCAGCAAAGCCACACTGCTGGCAGTGTCACTGTGCAGCGTTCTGGGGACGCAGTGACAGGGTCAGGGATGGAGGCTGGGCAGGGGCTCCCCGCTCTGCACAGGGCCACGAGAGCCCCCTTTCCCTCGGAAAGCACAGCCTGGGTGCCACCCACCTGCACGAAGACGGTGAAGAAGATGACGGTGATGATGGCAGTGAGGAACATGTCCCTCATGCCGAAGTGCTTGTAGTCCAGCAGGTAGCCCAGCGAGAAGGCGATGGCTCCCCGCAGGCCCCCGTAGGCGATGATGAACTGGTCCTTCGGCGTCAGCTTCACGATCCGGAACTTGTTGATGAACCAGGTGAGCACCAGGACACCTGGGGGAGCAGCACAGTCCTGGGTGAGTGGTCAAGGATCCCTTCCAGTGCCACAGAGCCCACCCTGCAGCTCCTCAGGGGCTGTCTGCTCATCTCTACGTCCCTGAGCAGCTTCCACCCCATGTCTGGCACCACCACGGCCTCAGCCCCATCTCCCCAACACCAACCAGCAGCATGGGTGATGCCCACAGTGGAGCAGTGCCACCCAGGCATCTCCAGCCTCCCCTGCAAGGCAAACCATCATGGTTCTGAGAGTTCACCATGACCCAGGTGGCCACTCTGGCCAGGCTGGACAGGGCTTGGTATGGTGGAAGGTGTCCCTGCCCGTGGCAGCTGGAACAAGATGGGCTCTAAGGTCCCTCCCAACCCAAACCATGCCATGATTCTTTTACCACCCTGAGGGCTTTGCCTCCACACTGACACTCACCCAACACCCTGGCGATGAGGCAGAAGAAGAGCGTGCTGATGACGAAGGTCCAGTTCCAGTAGTGGTGACCAGCCACGGTGGAGACACCCAGGAAGATGAAGATGAGGGTCTCGCTCACACTGCTCCACATCTTGAGGAAATACTTGATGGTGGTGTGGGACTTGTGGGAGATGTTGGCTTCCACATAGGGCCGCATGACCACACCAGCAGCGATGAGCCTGGGGGTGAGGTTGGGGCCCTCAGCAGCCATGGGGACATGGGGACAGCCCCAAGCCCTGGCCCTGCAGCAGCATTCTGTGTTGTGACACTTAACTCCAGGGTAGGACAGGCCTCGTGAACCACCAGCTAATACTCAAGGCCTCCACAGAAGGCAACGTGAGGTTTCTCCTTCCCCTGGCAGGGCAGGAGTGAGCACTGGAGCACAAACCCATGGTGTCCTGAGGGCTCAGCAGGCCCTGCCTGCTCCTGTGTGCCCGGGAGAACAGGAGCAGGCTGCCAGCACCCCGGGATCTGCGGGACAACTCCCAGACCCACTTCTCTCATGTCCCTCCTTGCAAATCCCAGCCCAAACACACACCTGGGCCTCGCACTGACCACGCTGGGCCAGCCCGAGGACTGTGGTCACACACCCCAAAACCCCCCGAGGGTCCTGGGCAGGAGGGCTCCCCTGCCCGCTCCCACTCACGCCATGATGCCGGACAGGTGGAAGAGCTCAGCAGACAGGTAGGCCATGTAGCTGTAGAGGAACACGAAGAGGGGCTCGATGACGCGGATGTGTGAGGTGAAGCGGGACGTGAAGGCGGCGATCACCCCGTAAATGACGCCCACCAGGACCCCGCCCAGAGACACCACGAAGAAGCTGAGGAAGCCGAGGATGATGTCCAGGATGGTCACCTGCTCGAAGCTGGCAAACTCCTCAAAGAGGTGGTAGAGGACCTGGCAGGGAGAAAGGAGAGCAGGGTTCAAACTGTCCCTCTGGTATGGGACAGCCTCACCTCGGAGGAGACCTGTCCAGGGAGTGTTGCACACCTGAGCTGAGCTGCTTGGTGACCCCAAGCCGGGTGCGTGGCCAGGGCTCACACCAAATCCAGCTGCTGGTGCTTTGCTGTGCCAGACACAGACCTGGGGGAACCATCTCCCTGTCCTCTGTGCCCACAGGGACACACAAAGATGTGTCTGGGACAGCTCTGCTCTCCAGCTGTCCCAGGAGAGCCTTTGGTCACCAGCCAGAGGCTGTTCCTGTTTTCCCAACGAGCAGGTCAGGACAGATCCAGGCTGGGGAAGTCCTGACAGATGCATGGAGAGAAAAGCCTCCATCTGCCCTGCCCAGCCCAGAGAAGAGCCCAAACCCTTGAGGTGGCTTCTGCAGCTGAGGGAAACCTGAGGGAAAGACTCTGGGCTGTGCTGCCTTCTCCCACCCTCAGACACTGCAGAGATGTTAAAGCACATGTCAGGATGGGAAACGGGATTTAGGGCATCCTGCAGGAATAGCAGCACTTGCAGGCAGGGAGAGGGCGAGGTGCCAGCTCCTGCCTGTGGGGCCAGGCCCTGGGTGGGACAGGGGCAGACAAAGGCATTCCCCAGGGATGAGAGTGGGGACACAGACCCTGCAGGCACCCCTCTGCTGGAAAATGGGGGAGAAGTGCCTGGAAAAAGCCCCATGGTGGGACAGAGTGTTCTTTGTCACCAGGAACCTTGTCAGCAGGGGCTGAGCAGCCAGCTCCGGAATGGACAGCTGGGATGTGGGAAAAGAGCCAGGAAATAGCAGTGGGTTAGGAGTCAGTTTAGAGGTCAGCTCTGCAGAGAGGCCACGCTGACAGCCAAGCCAGCACCTGGACAGTGATGTCCTCTGGAAAGGGAGCAGGTCTGGCCCCACCTCCCATGGGTCCCTGCAAAGCTGCTGCTGGCAGTAGGGCTGAGGGATGATGCAGGGGGGCTGCCAGCCTGGCTGCAGCCCCTCCAGTTCTCCCCTGTATCCACAGCTGATGCGCTGCCCTCCTCCTGCTGGGAGCTGGGGGACAGCAATGGTGACCACGAGAAAGGAGACAGATGGAGCAGCAGCTCCAGGGCAGCTCTGCCTGGCCCAGGGTCAGCCCCTCGTGCTTCCCTAGCAGGGCAGGCACGGGCACAGCAGCAGCTCCAGCCAGGAGAGCAGATTGCCCGAGCCCATGGCTCCAAGAGGCTGAATGGGCAGGTGCCCTCAGCCTCCCCAGCCCTCCGAGAGAATCACTCCACCTCAACCCACCTCTGCAGGGTTTCAAGCCTCTACTTTTAGCTTTGCACCTGGACGGGGTTTGGTCCAAGTGGAGCTGCCAGGAGGCAGCTTGGCATGGCCCTGGCAGCTGCCACCACCCTGGGATGCTCCTGCACTGAGCAAAGCCCACGCCCCGGGGCACTCACGACGGTGACGGCGTCATTGAGCAGGGACTCCCCGAAGACCAGGATGTGCAGCAGCTCGTTGATGTGGATCTCCTCGAAGACAGCCAGCACGGCCACGGGGTCCACGGCCGAGATGATGCTGCCGAAGAGCAGGTTGGCCAGCAGGCCGATGTGGTTGAGGCCCGGCCCGCCCAGCTGGCACACGGCGTACATCAGCCCCCCCAGGAAAAAGGCGTTCCAGAGCGTGCCCACCACGGCGAAGATGAGGATGGTGCCCAGGTTCTCGGTGAAGGGGCGCAGGGGCAGGAAGTAGCCGGCGTCCAGGATGATGGGGGGCAGCAGGAAGAGGAAGAAGATGTCCGACTTGAGGATGGGGGGCTTCTCACCCACCCCCTTGATGAGCCCCCCGACCAGAAGGCCCACCACGATGAGCAGGCAGCTCTCGGGAACGATGCTGGACACTGAGGGGATCACGTGGAAGCCTGGAGAGAGGGAGAGAGGAAGAGACACGTTGGCTACAGGGATGGAGGATGGAGGATGCTGTCTGCAGGGGACACTCCTGCCGGAGTCAGGGACCAGTTCCCAGCCCTCCCTGCACTCCTCGTGACCCCTCACTCCCTGTGTGCCTCAGTTTCCCCTCCTGCCCCGCTCTGCCACGTGGAAACTGCAGCTTAACCAGAGCGTGGTACTGCTGGTCTCAGGCCAGAACCCTGAGAGCCCCAGCAGCAGCAGGTGACAGCCAGCCCTGGGACACCCCAGGGTCTCTCCCTGGACCCCAGGGTGACCACGGCAGGTGTCCCTGCCTGTGACAGCCCTGCAGCACAGACAGCTCTCTCCACACGAGCAGGCCCTGCTCCAGCTCTTCCCCCTGCAGCACTGCTCCAGGCACACACAGGCAGTGGCATTTCCCCCCCATCAGACAGCAGCCTGCCCACCAGTGCCACTACTGCCAGCGTGCCAGGCACGGCCCCATCCCCGGGCATCCCTGGCACAGGGCCCTGTGGGATGGGAGCTGCTGCTTGGTGCCTTTCAGGATGCAATTCTCCTTCCTGGAGGTCTAACCCGGCTGGTTGCAGCAGGGACAGGATGCATCCCTGGGGTGAAGGTAACAGGGAACACATCTCCCCCTTTTCCAATCCCAGCCCTGGCCCGCTGGGATGACATTCCCACCAAGCAGCCCCAGCGGGCATCTGCCAGCACACCAACACCCACAGAAGGGTTCTGGGCTCCCTGGATCTCCTCCCAGGCTTTATAATTATTATTTTGAAGCGAGGCATATTTGTTCCCTGGCAAGGGAAGCAGTTTAAAATAAGGAACCCTGCCTTGGCATGCCGTGTTCCTCCGTTCCTTCCGGCCGTGCCATCTGCAGCAATCCCACAACAGATTCAATCCCCTCCAGAAGGAGCCAGATCCCCCCCGAGCCCGCAGGGGCCACATCTGTGCCACGGCCAGCTCATCCCTCCTCCAGCTGGGCAGACACCCCAGCTCCCACGGGAAAAGGCCTCAGGGACTTCCCAGCCTGGATGCAGCTCCTGATTTGCCCCCATGGGATTTTCTCCTCTTTCCTGGAGCCCCTGGAGCCCACACAAGCTCTGAGCACCCCAAGGCAGCCCTGGCACGGAGCTCCCTGTGGGAGGGGAGGTGATAATCCCTTTTCCATGCACAGCTCATGCAAACCCTGGCAACCACCGACCCTTCCAGCACACCGGGCACTTTCTGGCTGGAATAAGGCTTAAAGCCACACGAGCAGCGAGAAGCCAACAGCAGGTCAGTTTTTGCTTGCTAAGTATGTTCAATCATGAATAAAACACAAACACTGACAATTAAGCATCTCTCACTTCTTCCACACAGGCCCCAGGATTCCATTAAACTGGAACATTCGTGTGCTGATGGGAATTCAATGGTTTACAGCCTTTTTGTAGGGCCCTAAAAATACACTTACACGGGCTGCATTTTAATTATGCCTTTGATTTCACTGAATCTGAGCCATTTTTTGCTCCCTGCTTGCTCCACTCAGTATTTTTAGAGCATTCCAGAGCTCATTGGTACCAATCTGTTGGTGGGAGCCAGCATCCCACTTTGGGATGGGGGTGACTGGTGGCAAGGATGAGGCCAGGCAAGGGTGAGGTGCTTTGATCCCAGCCCTGTGCCTGAACTTCCCTCCTGGAAGAGGAGGAAGGCTGTGGCAGGATGCTGGGAGATGAGGATGCCCAGCCAAGGGGCAGCAGAAAGGGCAATAAGCCTTGATAATGGCTTTAAAGATTATGATTATGATAATAATAAGAACAATAAAATAATAATAATGTGACCCCTGATCCCTAAATCCCCAGCACAGGGCATGCACAATCACCCAGGCTTCCTCCTTTGGAAAACAAACTCCATGGGAGCAGCTCCCTCCCACCAGCATCAAACACCACCTGAACCATTAAAAGAGAGACAGTTGGGTTAAACATGAACCCCAAGAGGTTGAGCAAACACAGAAAAGGAAATGCAGGAGATAACAGCTCCTGTGAAAACAGCTCCGTGCCCACATGGCACAGCCAGCTCCCATGTGCCCAGCAAGGCACACACAGGGATTGCTCACTGGTGGTCAGCAATTCCTTGGGCTGGGGCACAAAGGAACCAGGGACAGGATCCCCAGTTTTAACCACAGACTGAGCACTTGCAGATCTGGGGGAAATCCCATCCTTGCAATTAAAGAGATTTCGGGCAAGGAAAGCTGGTTCTGACAAAGTTTGTTCTGCAGCTTCTGGGTCTTTATTTTGGGGTCAGTGGATTTGCTGAATGGGAGGGAGCAGGGAAGGGAGCCCAGGACACAGCTGAAGGGCCTGGCACATTCATGGTTAAGCCGGATGCTCCTGAGGCTTCACCCCACATTCCCAAACACCCACGCAGGGACATGGCCTCAGAGAGCCAGGGTGCTTCCAGGAGCATCCTGTCAGCCCAGAGGAGGCACGAGGAAGGAGAGTGCTTACACAACCCCTCCATCCTGGCCAGGTTCATTGGAGCAGGCTCCAGCAGGCAGGCTGGGGGAATCACTCCATTATCAACCAGGGCTAGGAGCTCTCCCAGCTCTGGGGATGCTGCTCTGGAAGGAAGTGGTGCATGAAGGGGCAAGGGGGCAGTGAAGCCCCCAGGTGATGCTCTCCCAGCCCTGGGGGTGCTGCTCTGGAAGGAGGTGGTGCATGAAGGGTCAGTCTGGGCAAGGGGGCAGTGAAGCCCCCAGGTGATGCTCTCCCAGCCCCAGGGATGCTGCTCTGGAAGGAGGTGGTGCATGAAGGGGCAAGGGGGCAGTGAAGCCCCCCAGGTGATGCTCTCCCAGCCCCGGGGAGCCCAGGCTGGTGCTGGCTGGGGCTGCAGGGAGGCTGCAGGGAGTGGAGCTGGCTCTGGGAAGGAGCAGGCATGCTCAGAAGGGCTGCCCTTCTGAAGGACACTGCAGAGAGCAGGGCTGGAGGAGACACGAGTGTCTGACAGCACAGGGGCCCCTCCAAGGGCCACTTTAACCCTGCAGGACACCTGGCTGGGCGGGCCCTGCAGAGGGGCAGCAGCAATGCCAGGTGGGGCGTGCAGCAGGTGTGCTCACCTTCCCACATTCCTGTGTGACACACGGAGAGCCCTGCACTGACACTCTGCTGGCTGAACCCCAAAATCGCAGATGTGTCACCAGCCCCGGGGACAAGTGATCCACGCAGCCGTGACTCAGCACCGTGCCCTTCTCTCTGTGTGGAGGGAGCAGCAGGGAGGGAGGGAGGCTGGGCTGGGCTCCAGGGGCTGCAGAGCTCCCAGCCCTGGGATCTGGCGTTCCCACGCTGTGTTTGGGGCAGGTCGAGGATGGGGTAAGACCCCAGCAGGGCTAAAGCCCTGTGAGGAGGGCAGTGCAGTCACACAACATTTGCAACTGGCTCCCAGGGGAAAATCCATCCCAGTCCTCCGGAGTTTGGCTGCAGCTTCTTCCATGTATCCTCCACCCTCACAAAAAACACAGTGGATTCCTCTCTTCCCTGGCCTGAGCAGCAGCTGCCCAAGGGTCAGCCAGGCTCTGCTGACTGCTGTGGCCTCCAGCAGGGATGTCAGGGTGTCTCTGCTCTGCTTCTCCCTTGGAAAACGGAGCCGGGTCCAGCGGCAAAGACAGGGAACAAGGAGAACGGAGAGAGCTGCACCAGATGCAACGGGGAAGCCTCGAGGGAAGGGGATGAAAATTGAACTTGCTCAAAAGGAATTAAAAAGCTGGTGCTTTACACCTATAAATAGAGTGAGGCCACGGCTGGTGTCACCCTGCCAGGAGAGGGGGTAAAACCACTGTACTTAAATTACATTCACTGCCTCTCACAAGCTCCAGCATTCACCACGTGCCCTGAAACCCCAGCCCCACAGAGCTCCAAGCTGCCTCATTCCCACAGCATCCCACTGGGAGGGCACATGTGGGGCCAGGACGCAGTTTGGGCTTTGCCAAACCCTTCTCTGTTTCACCAGAGAGCGGGCAGGGTTTTAATGCAGGTGCAGCTCACCCCAGGGCTCCCCTGCAGCTCTTTTTGGGTTGGTTTCAGCAGCTTGGGTCGATTTGGGCAACCTTTTAAGCACCCAGTGGCTTCAATGTCCAGAACGGAAAAGCGTTGATTTTCCACCCCAAAATGCCATTTCCTGGTGAGAAGTTGACTTCTTGTTTTTTGTGTTAAGGCACAGGTACAGAAAGTGCTTCTAAGCGAAACAATTTCCTCCAGAACAAACCAAATGTTTCATTCAAGCCTCATTATTTTGTTGTCGCTAATTACGAAGCAAAGCCAAGAACCAGGAAGGTAATTAATTTATGCTGCTTTTTGTGAGTCATGAGTGAACGCAGATCCCACACAAGGGCCACAGAGCCACCCTCCAAACCTCGCCGTGGGCACAGTGTGCAAAGCCAGAAGGGAAAAGCAAAACCTCCAGCCCTGGTTTCAGGGTGACTCCTGCACCCCAAACTCGGGTGGGCAGGGGCTGCATCCAGGCTGGTGCTCAGGACAGCGCCCAGCACTGCCCCACAGCCCCAGGCGTTTTCAGGAGTCAGGATCAGCTTCATCCACATGGGATGGGATGGAGCCCTGGGCTGGGTCTGTCTGCCCACAGTGCCCAGCACAGCCTGGCTGTGACCCTGCCCAGCACACAACGTCCCCAAAGCCATGCTGGCACAGTCCATAGCCATCAGGAGCCCTTGCCAGATGAGGAAAGGGCTGTTTTATTGGCCCTTGGTGTGACATTATCACCCCTGTGCCTGCAGACCTTGCTCAGCCAGCTCAGCCCCACCCCACCCACCTGCCCCTGGTTTTTCCCCTCTCTCCCCTCAAGCAAACAGCCCGGGGCACAAGGAAGGAGCTCCTGTGACAGGAGCCCCAGGGCTGCCTGGTACAGCCCCAGCCCCAGGAGCAGGTGTGTGTGGGAAGGTGACCCCCTGGACCCTGCCTGCTTTGCTGAAGATAAGAACAGGGCTGATAGCATCAGGCCAGCC